ATTAAATTTTAATACAATAACGTGCAAGTTAAAACTTGAAAATTGCCGTTTATTATACTAAGATTTAATGGGCTACAAAAATTAATTCAAATACTTTTTTTATTTCTGATAAAGTTTGAAATTTCGATGTAACTGCAGTTTTTATAATTTTTGCACAAAGTCTGAAATTAGGATTTATATAGTTTTCGTTACATATATACTATAATTTTATAAAAAGTTAATAAACATTAAACAAACAAAAGAAATAGTCAAAACTTGTCATAACGTCGCGACCCTATTAATTCGTCCGACACCATACATATACATATATCCGTCCTGTATTATAAATAAGTATATTATATATAACATATATTTTTCACCCCTGATATGCTCACATATTAGTATAAGTCCAACACATAAATACATTCATATACATTCATACATTGTATTTTCATTTTGAAGGTAAAAGCTAAGTACTTTTAAGTACATATATATTTAAAGTAAATAATAAATAATATTTCACATTATAAAAAATAAAATAGGAATTTCACAGCTCATTTCATTTTCAATTAAATTGAGTCATTGCAAAATACTTTTTAAAAACTATAGTAAGTATTACTTAAAAATTGAACCCAAACGTGGTATTTTTTTTAAATTTAGTTGAAACGATAACATACCTTGTTGTGCAAAAGTAAGCAACGAAATTGTACTTAATTTATTTTGTCATCTACTTTTACTGATTTATTTTTAATTATTTTTTATAAAACTAAAGTTCATTTTATATCAGGCTGTTCTATATGATAAATATACAAAATAAAAGTTTGCAACTTTGTACAAAACTCATAACATTTAACAAAGTTAAAAAAAGTTCATCAAAATTTCGAACCTTTTATCAGGCTTTTTAAAAACTATTTAGGTATTCAGTTTTGTAGCATATTTAATTTTACAATAATAAAGTGCAAGTTTGAAGTGTCTGAAATTTACCAACGCTAATTTAAAGTCACTTCAAAATTGCACTTTAATTATACTAAAGATTAAAATGCTTCAAAACTGAATACCCAAAAAGTTATTAAAAATTCTGGTAAAAATTTGGAAATTTTAATACATTTTTATATCAAATGTTGTGAGGTTTGTACAAAATTAGAAACTTTGATTTGTATAGTTTATGATATGCAAAAACCTGATATAAAAAGAACTTTAGTTTTATAAAAAAAATAATTAAAAATAAATCAGTAAAATTAGATGACAAAATAAATTAAGTAGAATTTTGTTGCATACTTTTGCAAAAGACTGTATGTTACCATTTCAGTTAAATTTAAAATCACAAAGTTTGCCTTTAAGGGCCGTTTTCACCATCTCTGGTTAACACTAATCCCCAGATAACCATTGTTACCGACGTTACCGACCCAATGTTAAGTGAATGGAGTCAGTACCGTCGGTAACGATATTTAACTGGGGATTAGTGTTAACCAGAGATGGTGAAAATGGCCCTAAGCCTTAAATGTATACTTACAAAATTAACGAGGAAACGTTTTCTTTTTGCAGCTGCAATAGTTGAACTTTTAGTTTCAGTTTCTCAGTTCTATGTCTGTTTTTATTTGCAACCTCTTCTTTAAGAAGCATTAGTTTTTGTTTTTTTAATTCTAGTTTCTCTTTCTCTATAGCCAGATTTTCTTTTTGAAGGTTGTATGACTTCCTTACAGAACTTTCTATATACTTCAGGCTCTTTTTTATATTATTTGCACTTTCTTCCATTGCCTCAAAATGCTTCGCTTGGTTGTTTACTTGCGTTTCTAGTAATGCAATTCTCCTATCATTTGCAGTAGAATTGGCAACTTTTCTTCTTCTTGGAGTACGATGCACTTCAGAAATTTCGGTCTCCTGGGTTTCACGCATTTCACAATCTTCCCCAGATATTGTGATGTAATCACTACCACAAGCTACCTGCTCCTCTGGGATTTCCTCCGATTGAACAATTGCATTGTGTCCGATTTCTTGACCTGGTGGGTCCGAACAAATATCGTACCTTAAAAAACTTGCCACCCCTTCCTCCAGTGGCGTGAGAATGTGCAGACTGTTTGGGCCCCCACCAGTTGCACGAAATTCTGCCCTGTTTTCCGAAATTTTCTTTTTCGTCTTGCTCTTCAAATCTGTCCAAACCTACATCAAAATATACCCGATTATTTTATTAATTAAAGCTTAATATGTATTTATTTCACCTTTAACCACTTTTCCCATGAACGTAGTGGTGGTCCCAAGCTGTTCAGCTCTACGGCTATGGCTTCCCATCTGGGCTTTCCCCGAGTCTTGCCGCAAATTCCTTTCGCCAAGTCCTGATTGTCCTGCATCAGCTGGACCAGCCGCCCAAGTTGCTTCTTATTGCTAACCACTTTTGATCTACAATTCACACACATTTGTATAGTAAATTTTTGTACAGCTTTTAATGCAAATAACTTACTTTTTATCCATTATTTATTTATTTATATCACGAAAATTTTGCTCACTCAAACTCTATCGACTCAAAAATAGCAGTAGAAGGATAAGCGATTAAAAACTATTCACAGTCGCTCATTGAGCGACTAAGCGACACTCACAATAGCATCGATAATCGATAATCGCTTAATAGTCGTTTATCTACTGCCAGTCGACACTCGCAATAGGGGTGAATAAGTCATTATTATTAGTTATTATATCTTACATTCCTCCAAGCAGTGATATAACTATTTATAAAAAAACACTTGGAAAATGTAATCTATGTACTAAGCATTTTGAAAGGTTCATATGAAATTATTTTTCTTTGCGATTTTAACTTGCCTAATATTTCATGGCGATTTCACTGAGACAGTTTGTTACCAGCTGATCTTAAATCAGACATCGGAGGAAGATGTTTTGCTGGCTATTTCATTATTGAAGCCTAGCTGGAAGCCCGACTCTGAAGGGTTTTCACCCATGTTATTTAAAAAGTGCTGTACAGCATTAGCTTATCCTATATCTCTTCTTTTCCAAAACTGCTTGGATAAAGGACTTTTCATCGACCAATGGAAGTTATGTTTTATTACCCCGATTTATAAATCTGGGGATCGCAATAATGTCTGTAACTATGGACCTATAGTTAAACAAGGTACGTAGCCAAATTATTTGATCAAATAATCCAATCGAAGTTATTTGATCATGTAAGGGTTTTAATATCCAATAGTCAGCATGGACTTTCTCCCGGTAGATCAACCTGCTCCAACTTAATTCCCTTAACTAATAGGATAATTAAAGCTTTTGAAAACCACGCTCAAGTTGATGTCATATACACAGACTTTTCCAAAGCCTTCGATAAAGTCAAACACAGTATACTTTTACAAAAGCTGAGAAGTTACGGTATTAGTGGTAAACTGCTAGATTTTTTCGAGCTTTCTAACGCAAAGAAAGTTACTTGTGAGAATGTGGTCAACAACATCTCAAGTGACTGTTAATGCATGGTCGGGCATACCACAGGGCACGCATTGTGGACCACTCTTGTTTATTCTATTTATAAACGACTTGCCTAACTGTTTTAATTTTGCAAACTGCCTGATGTTTGCAGATGATGTTAAGCTTTTTTCAGTTGTGCGTGATTTCTCAGATTGTAATCGTCTTCAGCTCGATCTAGATGAATTTCAGCAGTGGTGTACATTAAACTGTTTTAACCTAAATATATGTAGGTAAATGTTGTGTAGTTACGTTCTCGAGGAAGTCTAGTAGTGATATATCTTTTGACTATAAATTAGATGGTTTTGTTTTAAAGCGGAGCACTGAAATAAAGGATTTGGGCATTATTTTTGACTCCAAACTCGCGTTTACAAAACACTTTGACTATATTGTATCTAAATCGTTCTCAATAATAGGCTTTATTAGGCGCAATACTCAAGAGTTCAAAGATCCAACAACTTTAAAATCCCTTTATATCGCTTTAGTCCATATTATGGAGTGCACTCGATCAAAATTGAAATAGTTCAAAAGATTTTCACCAAATTCGCTATTTGCAAGTTGCCCTGGCAAGGTTATGTTCCTCCCTATATTGGCAGACGGAAATTGCTGGGTCACCAGTCTTTGAAGGAAAGAAGAGATTATTTCTCCATTGTATTTATTTATAAACTAATCAATGGGCACTTAAATTGCGCTTATTTAACAAATTTGCTCATGTTATATAATCCCCGCGTAATTTAAGAAACAATAGGCTATTGGTTGGTGCCCTGCATACCACGAATAATGCCAAAAATGAACCAATTGCTAGATGCATTGAATTGTGTAATACATATTCTAGTGTTATCGACTTTAACTTAAGTATTGATAGATTTAAGAGTAATTTGTTTACAATATTCAACTAGAGTCTTTACTAGTCTGTAAGAAACTAATTCTGTAGACTGAAATTAATAAATAAATAAATAAATGGGGCGTGGCAACTCCAATATAAAACGAATTTTCACACTGCATATCTCTTGAAGTGTTCATGATAAGAGCACTGGAACTTGGTATGGAGGTATGTATATAAAATCAATCGCATAGTCATGAAGAAATAAAATGATAGTTAAAAAACTAAAAACACGCTTTTATTACAACAAGAAGAGATATCCCATCGGAAATTATGTCAAAAAGCGTCAACTAACTTTACAGTGGACTTTATTTTGACTATGAATACGGGCCAATCACTTTAATACTATTTTTAGCTAATTTAAACAAGTTAAATTAAATCAAGTTAGGGAACTTCCTATTCTTCTTAAACGGAATAGCTATATCTATAAATTATTTTATACTTTGTAAATAGTTCTTGTAATAAAAACGCGTTCTTAGTTTTTTAACTATCATTTTATTTTCTACTTTTTAGTTTTTTGAAATCTTGCAATTAATATAATACTGTCTGTATATTTCTCATTCTGTCCATTTCTTTCAATGCCAAGAAAATTTTCCGCACCCTGCTTTTTAGCTACACTTTTTACCTAACGTGCTAGATTTGACCTTAACAAACAAAATTTTCAATGTATTTCAATTAAATAGGTAATACACATATTCTGAATATAAACCAAATCGGAGCACAGATGCCGATTTTTTAATTATATAGACTCGCGCGCCACATAACTGCCAAAATTTTTTGTGCATTCGAAATGTGAACTTAATCGGATCATAAATAATTATTATATTCTAAATATGAACCAGATCAGACTATAAATGCGCGTTTTACAAATATCTCGACTCCTGCGCCACCTAGCGGCACAATTTTTTTGGATTTATTTCTTTTAATATAAGTAATAGTATATGTTCCAAATATGAACCAAATCAGATTATAAATGCGGGTTTTACAAATATCTCGACTCCTGCGCCACCTGGCGGATTAAGTCATCTTTTATATTGCATTGTTCTCGAGTACTGAGCTAAATTTGAAGTTTCAAGTCTGTAGCTCATCGGGAAGTTTGTTAAATATTGACTGCAAAGTTCCAGGACATACAAGGATACATACATACATACAAGTGAAGTTAAATAAAAGCTTGTAATAATAAAATTGGGGCTATTAGAAAAAGGGCGTGGCAGCTCTCAAACAAACCAGATTTTTCATACTGCATATCTCTGGAAGTGTTCATGGTAGAGTACTGGAACTAGGTATGTACAAGATTTATATAATCAATCGCACCGTCATGAATAAAAATTGGGGCTATTGGAAAAAGGAGCGTGGCACCTCCCACACAAATCGAATTTTTCACACTGCATATCTCTGGAAGTGTTCATGGTTGAGTACTGGAACTTGGTACATATGTACAAGATATATAAAATCAATCGCATAGTCTTGAAGAAAAATTAGGGCTATTGGAAAAAGGCACCTCCCATACAAACCGAACTTTTCACACTGCATATCTTTGGAAGTGTTCATGGTAGAGTACAGGAACTCGGTATGTACAAGATTTATAAAATCAATCGCATAGTCATGAAGAAAAATTAGGGCTATTGGAAAAAGGGGCGTGGCACTTCCTATACAAACCGAATTTTTCATACTGCATATCTCCGGAAGTGTTCATGGTAGAGTACTCGAACATGGTATGGAGATATATGAAATCAATCGCATAGTCATGTAGAAAAATTGGAGGTATTGGAAAAAGGTCGTGGCACCTCCCATAAAAACCGAATTTTTCATACTGCATATCTCCGGAATTGTTCATGGTAGAGTACTCGAACATGGGATTTAGATATATGAATCAATCCCACACTCTTAGAGAAAATTTGGGCTATTTGGAAAGGGGGCGTGGCGCCTTTGGAGCAAAATGTTTCAATACAAAAAGTTTATATATATATACTAGCAGACCCGGCGAACTTCGTCCCGCCCAAAATTAATTTTTTTATCGAAACATTTTCACCAACAATTCACGTTGACAACTTCCAGTGGCACATTTATCTGCTCCAATTATAGGTGTGTGGTCGTCAGAAGGCATATCTTCCATTGCAGTCTTAAATAACCTAAAGAAAGCATTATGTCCGTGAAGAAGTTCTTGCGAATCTCCAATGATCTGGCCTTTCATGCCACGGTTAATCCCACAACGGTGGCTTTCTTGTATTTCGTTCAATTATTAGATCTTGTATTTGATATTGTAATGGAGTTCATTGGTAAAGAATGACGAAAAGTTCAAATTAAGCTTCATCAAATACAAAATGCTTAATTTATTATTAATTTAATTTTAATTTGACGAATGATGTCGATAATTGATAATTAAGATGATATTTAACAATGTTTTATAATTCTTTTACCTAATTGAATTTTTATTAATCAATACTTTCAATTAACTAGAAACTAAGCGATGAGCAATATTTCTCGTTAATCTTTCTTTCGTTAAAACAAATATATTCGACGGTTACCCAACACGGGAGCATGCAACATACAACTGTCCATGAGAGAAGCACGGATTCTCTAAGTCCGAGCCACAAATAGCCATTGTCTGCCCCCCGCGACTTATTTATTGTAATCGCGAAAGCCAAACGTATTGGAAATTGTAGCCTCTTGAAAGGTATTGTAGATTCTGATGGTATCATAGGTATTCGAGGTAACAGAACGACTTCTCGTTTAAACTTTCCAGTCAATATCATTGCTTCAAGTACGTTTCCAGTAATTCTTTTGATGACTAATCGTGTACCGTTGCATAGCTTTGGTGAATTTAAGTTACGCGAGAGAATAGTTGCGTTTTTTTACTCATTTCCAGTAAAATCCAGTAAAAGTTTTTACGAATTTTCATGTTTTGGCGTTTTCGTACGCAAAAACTTGCAAAGTAGGGGAAATTGAGAGAGCGAAAAATGACAGCTGAGTTGCAAGTTTTTACTGGATTTTACTGGATAAATTTTTACTTGTAAGAATTTGCCAGTACGAAAAACAGCTGATCGCATGTTGCTGGATGAAATTTAAACTAATAAGGAAACTGTGGCTTTTTATTGTGGAAATTCACAAAATAAACATATTTAAATATAAAATATATTGTTGTATTAAGTTACTGGAGAGTTGCTGGCAAGTTACTGGATAATTTGTAAAAAAACACAACTAATGATTGGTGAACCATTTTTCAGTCGAAGTTTGTGTGGCGGCATTCCTGGCATATCCAGAGAATTCAAAAATTCAATCGGGAAATTTACGGT